CTTGCAAGAACAACGTGTAACAGAAAAATAATTAATTTCGAAAATAGCGTCTTGAGCAGTTACACAGTCAGTCGGGCGTGGAGACTCAAAACCGAAATCTGTGATTACATATGTGGTTACATATGTGTGATTTATCGATAATCAGAACCATAAGGCATAGGTAACATAGGTTAGTACTAATTTAATAATAAGTGAAAACATCACTTGCCCATGTGGCCTGACCACGGGCGCCCAACTCTAAGCAGATTTTTTAATATCGACGTATTAATTATACATTTAGCTGTTACACAACAGATTAAAAAAAAAAACATCTGAATTAAACGCCTTTCACATTTTTTAGTTTTTTCGTTCGTTGACCCCACGGCGCGTACACAAATCATAAAAAATTACCTATTAAAAATCGTTATCAACAAACAACAACTGTCGTTTTTTAACATCAAGAAGCGTACGTAGCAAGAAGTATACATTAGAAAAAAATAGAAATCACACCTTAAAAGTACTTTATTGGCCCAAGAAAACAAACTACTGTTTTCCTGTTGTATTCATATTGTAACAAGTGATATATTTACTAAGGTTGGAAGTAGGAACAAAGACTTAGATTTCCGTCCAAGTAAACTGGTTCAATATGTAGACAGGTTTTATTTGTTGACATTACATTATGGCATTTACATAGTTCCTTTATTATATCATGTGTTTTTTAAGGCTTATGTTGGAAAACTTCTTTTTCCTTATTACATAGCGACCATTCACACTGAGTTAACGAATTGTTTTTGTTGGGATTTAATTTCACTTCAAACAAATGAAGATTTGAAATTTAAATAAATGGTTTGTCGTAGCCATATAGCAAGTGAACTTTTAACAACTTTTTTATTAAGTATTTTTTAAACAAATAATTTAAAAATTAGTTTAGTTTACATTTATCTTTATAATAACTTTTTTTTGTACAAAAATAGATCTTACGTGCGTAATAAAAGTTGAAAAAAAAAATATAAAATTAAATACTTCTTTCCTATGGTAATAAGTATGTATACAAATGTTTGCTTAATGTTAAGTTTTAGCAAATAATTGCCTATACAATGCGCCTTAATAAATGCTAGTGTAGAGGTCCCTTAAGATTTATTCTATCCTAACAACCCTCTCAAAACGTTTTTTTTAAAAGTTTTATAATTTTGTTGTTTACATTAGGTTAAAGTTTAAAAACAAAAAAAAATATACAGTTATAACACAAATATTGGCTTGATTTTTCAAATAACCCAAAAAATCTTGGAAAGCGCTCATTTAAAGTTCTTATTTATTATATTTTGGTAAAACTGCTCTTACAAAATATAAAAGTGCTATTATTTCAGAAAAACGAATTCTAAATACTTTACTAATAAATATGTATTATAATTTAACTCTAGATTTAATTATTTGTAGTAAGCAATTGAAGTAAGAAATAAAATAAAATAAAAAATAATTGAAAATATAAGTATTAAAATTCAACAATTTGATTGTAAAATTATACTCAATATCAAGTACTACTGGCATGCTTTCCATAATAGATTACCAATTACTATTCTAGAATCTAGAAGCAAAACAGTGTTTTCAAACCACTCTCATGCGATTATACTAATCCAAAAACTTATTTAGGTGTATACAATTATTATGAGTTTAACAAGACAAAAACAGATTAAATTGCATGTTTTATAAATATGTAATCACCTATAAAACACACCAATTAAACTTTAAAAATAAGTAGGTATTACATACTTATAAGTTGGGTAATTAAGATAGTCTGATGAATAACATGCGTTGCAAATAAGGTTGCAATAATTTCGATTTTGCAACATTTAATGTTTATACGTCATGTTATTTAGTATTAACTACTTAGCGGTGTATCAATCAGTATGATGGTTATGTTTACCAGGGATGGGCAAATACTTAAAATTTATATTGTATTGTCTTTTGTTTTTAACGATGAAATAATATGTGAAATTTATCGTTCGAAAGTTAAAATTTGTTTTATCTTTTTGACTTATTCTCTATGTTTGTGGATGAATTATATATAGCTGTATAATTTTATAGCCAGACTTAAACGCTTTAGATCTTATAACTATAAAATGTCATAAAAAATTACAGCCTAAATTAAAAAATTCTTCACTAAGCATGTCGTCTAAGATCTATATCTCCATGCTAAACGGATGTGTATCATAAAATTAAAAATTATGCCCATATTTTTTTTTTTCTATTTGCAATTATTATTGATGTCAATTGATATGGTAATTTTCAAAAAAAAGTTTACTGTATGAACAGTTGTGTACTGCGACATCAGTAGTAAAACTGTTTTTAAGCAAATCCGGTTGAACAGCTGTTGTTGTTGGCATCGATTACTTTTTTTTTTTGTAAAATCATTGTATTGAATTTTACTCGTTTTGAGTTTGTAAAATCAAACTATCATATTAATATTGTGTTACCCGTCGCCAATATTTTGTTACCGTGTATTGAACATACCTAAAATGTGAACGGTATAATCGAATAAGTACTTGAATACTTTTAAAAAGTCTTCTGACAATTTAATGGTTGTCTAGTAACCGTTTTGAAGCAATTATTGTTTTATTTTAGTCATTGATTAAAGTCTAGTTGATGCCACTTCTCCTCCACTTCTGCTCCTTTGTTGCTCCAATTCTAATTATTAGGCTCTCCTTTTCTATTGAAAATTATGAACTTATCAGCTTTATCCTATGTCCTACTAGAAGGATTGAAAACAGTCGGTTTTTTAGACGTAAACGCCTTACAAAACTAAAATAGATACGGGTCGCATGTAAACTCCGCCAGAAATAAAAACCAGGTAAATTTGAGTATATTATATGCCCAGATGTTAAGACCATATTGGTGTTATTTTTAATAATCATATTTTAAAAAGTATGTAAAATATGCAAATATGTGTGTAGAACAAAATATGTATGTGCAACAAAAATAAAAATTAGTGCCCGTTTCTTGTACCACCAAAATGGCTTTTGCAAATAATCCTGAAAATACATTGACACGGTCGAAAAGCCCTTGTTTTTTTGAATATTGCCTATATAAAACCCCTTAGGTATAATAAACGTTTTAAAATTGCAGATTTTTAGTAAATATATTGTTAAAAAAAAACAGAGAACCAAGACGGGTTAAGATACCCTGACCGTCTTGGCTTTGCCAAGGGTATATCTGTTGCTGATGGAAAAAATTTGATTTTGTAATTATATTTGTGTTTTTTTTTTCGTTTTCATCCAAGTATAATAATATACTATTTAAATTGATCTTAGATTTTAGCATATTAAAAGTCATTTGTTAATCTTTAGGTGTAAAATATTTGTGTTTTTTTTTTTTTTTAAATAAGTTTAATATCAAATTAATGTATGTTTTTCATAGTTATACCATTGATTATAAATATTTATAATCAATGGTTATACATACTCTCTTGTCCCCTCGGAGCTTATTTTACTATACATTCGATTTTTAAGTACACCAATAGGAATTTTGCAAAATCATCAATGGACGACAACAACAATAAGAGATAATATTATTTTGGAAAACCAAGTCATTTGGTCGGCTTGTCTGACGTTTATAGTACTTTGCCCGAGCAATTTGTCGACCGTTTATCATTATTTTTCTTGTTTGTTTGTTTTTTTTCTTTCTTAAGAATCACTTATCTATGTATGTCTGCTTGTTTATCGCCAGAGTACACCAACAGTGAATTCATTCAGACAGCTACATTTCATCAATCGTCTCGTTTGTACATCAAACTACGACGAATGCTAAAAATTAAAATATTATTTGATTAGTGTGGAATCGTGGCCTAGAAAGAGCTACCTGGTCGATATCATTGTCGATGACAGTTATGGCAACGTTTTTTATTTTTATCGTCCACGTTCTAAGATAACAATTATCTATCATGAAAAAAACATACCTACTCGAAAAACAAACTGCAAAAGACGCCGCCGACTCATACTAATAACTGAAATACCTTACCTAAAGGGATAAATCAAGTCTTATTATTTTGGGAAATAAAGACAGGCACTCTACTAAATAATATCCAATTTATTTGTCTGATACCTTCTTATTTGAAAGTACAAGTGGTTATTACTCAAAATGGACCGCTAAATCTCTTAAAAATATGTCAACAAAGATTTTGTCTCCAATTCACCAATTGCGAATAAAATATGATTTTACCAACAATATAATATTATGTTGCTGGTTTGCCTTATAGTAAAAATAGCAACGAATTACAAGGATAGGCAGATATAATATAACAGTAGATTAGTAGGATTGAGTGCTACTCTAAAAGCACAACAACCCTCAACTATAATTTATAACATATAATATTAGTTATATAGTCTTGAGTAGTCTGTAATAAATCGGTGTAGCGGTTAAAAAATGATCACTTTATTATAAAAACAAGCAAAAAAACACATATCACTATAAAATCAACACCTTCTCAGAAAAATTGTTGTGAAGTGGAGATAAAGGTGTTAATTAAAATTATCAGAACTTTTCGTACAATAAAAAAAAAACAAAAAAAATTCACTAAAAACCTTCAATCTTCCCTTCAGCTGTATTTGTGCATCTGCCCTTAGGAAATTAAAGTTCAAACATACCCAAAATGTTTGCTTTAGACACAATGTACAGTAAGTGTATAGTTTTATAGTACTGAAATAGAACGATGGACATAAAACGTCTACTTTGTTGCGCATTCATTTTAAAATCGCTGTCAAAGATGCTGCCAAAAAAAGAGTCCTAATAATTTAACACATAACAGTTTAACCGTTAAATTAAGATTTTGCTAAAAAAATACCTACACTTTACTGATGATATTATTTCAACAAGTTTTAACTTGAAAGTTACATGTAAAAAGGAAAGGTCGTACATAAAAAAGAACATTATCGATTTTTGGTAACGCGGTCAAACAATAATGATAACGTATGATTGTTATCACAATCGACGGCCGATAAACGGTTTATTCAACTTAAAGGCCATTCGTACACGTTCCGTCGATTAAAATTCCGTCGACTCTCGGCCGGTGCCCGGTATACCCGCATTGTGTATATAATATATTGTGTGCGTTTAGTTTTTAGGCTTTTTGTCATTGGTTTTTTACTGTTTCAAGTCTAATGGTTTATAGTGTGTTCGACTAATCGCGTGCGTTTCTCAACGTTAATATGAGTAATAAAAACAATATCAATACCAAGTAGGATACGCGATCGTGACAAAACGTTACAAAGAAAACGTCGTTTGTGCGTGTGTGTATGTTCCGATCCAATGTCTCCGACGGACGGCATCGAAAGGCGAAAAAAATCCACGTCCAACGAGTCGACCGTCGACGACAGCGGTCCGACCGACACGGGCGATCAGATCAGACGCGGCATACGTAGCATGATGTATACTATACATATGTGTAGGTATTCCGCGGGCCTCGTACACGCGTCGTCATTAATGTAATATATATTGTATAATAATAGGTAAAACAAATTATTATCACAGCCGTAGCGAACGAAAATCTATCTACTCGCTGTCGCTATCTGCACGGGTTTTTTGTTTTTTCGTTTTCGAGTGTTCGTCGTCGTGTTTGTTCAACACTCGACACCGTACGGGCGACGCGCGGTAAAAGCGCGGCGACGGCGTCGCGAGCCCGGCAGAAGCGCCGGCGGCTTGGTTCGTTACTGACATGGCGTTAGACGCGACGACAGACATGACGGCCGGCGACGGGGCCCTGCGGTCCAAGTTCTTGGCCATGCTGTTTTTGGGCGCGTCCTCGCTGATCGCCGGCAGCGTGCCCGTGTGCGTGTTCGACCGGTTGGTGGGCCGCGGCCGGCCGCGCGTCAGCGGCGCCCTGGTCGATTCCGTGCTCCGGGTGGTGCTCAACTTTGGCGGTGGAGTGCTGCTGTGCACCACGTTCCTGCACCTGTTGCCCGAGGTCCGGGAGGGCGTCGAGCAGCTGGCCCGGCAGAACATACTCGACGCCGGCCAACACAGCACCGAAATGCTGGCCGAGCTCATCATGTGCGTGGGTTTCTTTTTCATATACTCCGTCGAAGAGCTGGTGCACGCGTTCGCCGACGGCCACCATCACGGCCACAGCCTGCACGGGTCGTTCGCCAGCGCCGGCATCGCCAACCCCGCCTACGAGAGGAACGGCGAGAGCCGCGCCAGCCCGGCGTCCACCGCCGGCAAGATGTCCAACTACAATTCGTTCGCGCCGGCCACCGGGCCGCCGCCGCCCAGGAAGCCCCGGACGCCGGCCTTGCAGACGGGCGGCGCGTCGTTCTTCAGAGGACTGCTGATCGTGGGCGCCCTGAGCATTCACGAGCTGTTCGAAGGGTTGGCCGTCGGCTTGGAGAAAAACGCCACCCAGGTCAGTGTAAATAGTATTAATTAATTAATACAATTGTATTAATATAATACTTGAGGAGCAATAATAAACATGTTGCATTTTTGCTATAATTGGCATCGAAGGGTTAAGCAATTTATATAAATGTTAGTCCAATTAATTAAAGATTTTTCGGCTTGTGGATCTTTGAAATATATTTGATAATACATAATTTGGCTGTGTTAACATTTTAAAATATTACACATATTAATTTTATAAAAAAAAAATTCCTTCACCCTTTAAAACGCTCAGCAGTGTCATGACGGTTTCTTCTGACATTTAAAAATGGTGTGCTTATTTTACAATAATTATGCAGACAACTATCGATTAATAAATACATGGTGTACAAAGTGTACAGTTCATCACTGCATTAGTTTTGAAACATAAATTATAATATACATGAGTAGGTATTAGGTATATTGGGTAATACCTGCAGACTTCAATTATAATGTAAACAATGATAACACGTTCAATAAATAAACACAGTTTTTAATTAGAGACAATAGAACAACCGATTTTTATACAATACACAATTTTTTGCATGATAAAACTGCATTCAGACAGATTTTTTCTGTATACCCTATAGTTTAATCCTTAATAAATGGTCGGGTCCTCGTTTTTTCGACGATTGCCTGAAAAAATATTGATTACTTAGAACGGCCCAAATTTAATTCTGTAAAGACAAGACGGGTTTTTTTTTTACTACTTAACTGGGTTAGGTTGAAAACGGACTTTTAACTATTTTGATGTAAAATAATTAAATTTTAATATTGTAAAATGTTCAGGCATGCAATTCTTATTTACAAAAAAAAAACAGAATTTCGGTTTCGAACTCAACTCGGAAATAGGCTAACAATTAATGTTGATATCTTTTTTACAAAATTAAAATTGGACCAGCCAAGGTCTTACAATTTTTTAAAAGCATTTGTTTACCACAAAAATGGCTTTTACTAGTATAAAATATTGTACAAAGCTCGAATCTTATGGAAATTAACCTGAAAACAAGTTGACATGGTAGAAATTAATTAAAACCAATTTTTTCTTAAATATTGCATTCAATCGCCATAAAGATACAATAATATTGTAATTTACCTTTTGGCACAAACAATGAGAGTTATCTGTTTTGAAAACGGTTCGTTTAACGGTTGGCTTTGTTTACACAAGTGTGAACTTAGTTTTTGTTTTTCTGCTCCAAATCTTACCATATATTTCTTTTTTTTGTGTATATAAAGTCTCAAAAGTCGATGACGAATTTACGAACACATGTAAAATAGTCCAAACACTTTTTGGTTTGATAATAATAATATATAAATCATGGCAATATCGATCATCTTTATAAATCTGCGATCCTGGCCATAAGTTGTTGAAATAGATCTTTAACCGTCTTTAAATGTAGTATCTTACTACACTAGTATATTTTTTGTACAGTGTCATTCCTATTGATAATTTAAAAAAAAAAAATTGTTTTATTGTAATATCCCAACTATAGTAATCAGTAGGGGTTGGTAGTCATAACTCGTATAACTGTATAATACTTGGATTTTCAACTCTATAGTCTCATTCACAAGTATACCTATTATTAATCATACATGTAATAAACATAAGTAAACGAGAAGGTTTCAGCCAAAAACCGCACACAAATGATTTCAACCCCAAAAAGGCCGGTAGGCAAAAACCACACACGCTTTATCGGTTGCCAGACAGGTACATTATGTAGCCAAATACCGCACACTTATATTGGGTAAAAATAGGTAGGTACGTCATTATAAAATGTGCGGTTTTTGGAGTCGACGGTAAACGAGAAACCATAAGATAACCATTTTTGTACATCATTTTGGTTTGAGTAAATTTAAGTCGCAGAGTAATAATATAAAGAGATGATCAGCTAACATGTACTAGCTTGTATGCAAGAGCGAAGTAGGACTAAAACCAGTATGACCACATAAAGGCAAAAAAAGTCTTTATTGTTGAACAAATAAAACAACTAGGCATTGTTGTTAATTAATACAAATAAATAGCTAAAATGTATATAACTTATGTACAAATTAATAATAATAAATTTAATATATTTTATCGAATTTAAAAACATTATTTTTTCAAAATACTGTTATCATTGATGGACTTTAGCAATTCTTTTTGCAACACGTTAAAACTACTATAGCCATCCGCTGATACTAAAAAACTGATCAAGCCTTTTCATTCAAGCATATCAATCGGCATTTTTTTTTTTTTGCATGTACTACTAGATTCTATTGCCTGCCCTCTTACGATCGAAATTTAATTGGATATTCGATTAGTCGACCATATTATACAAATTCAATCATTCATCAGTCACTAAAACACATCGTTCATAACAATTATTCATAAAAGTTATTCGAATGATTTTTAAACATATCATTTAAAAAGACTTTTTACTATTTACTACAATTTTTATTGCCTAAGCACGTATACAATACTTTTATAGTGGGAATAAAAACATTATCATTGTGTTTACATGGTTTACATGGCAAAACGGTTAAGCGCGTGACACGACTCGTTCGAATGTGACAAAACGTTTGCATAAGAACGTTATAAATATAAAAAAAAAAAAGTTTTATCATTTCAATGAAAAGTACAAAAGTCGATTTTATTAGGTCAATCCGATCCATTGATTTGTCTGTCGATTGCCGTCATCCGTTATACTTATTTACTATTATTATTATTATTATTATTATTATCAGTCTACATGTACTTTATATGGAACGTTTGAATATGTATATAATATATAGCTGCTATGAAATGTGTTATTTGCATTACCCAGATGAAACCACGTGAAGATTAGTCTCCCAAAAAATTATCTAGGCCGTTTATTTTTGGTGTATATACCAGAAGCAGAAGTAAATGATATTTTAACAAAAGAGAGATTTAAAACGATTATGAACCTGTTAGTGTATAATAAATAATAATATGTCTGTTATGAATGCATTCAACGATGGTCGTGTGCATTTGTTCGGTCCACGTGAAAAGATGAAATTTATAGATTTATATTATCTCGAGCACTTTACCGTTAAGCAACAAGCTGTATAGTAGATTATGCACATAAGAAATAATATTATTATGTCTTGAGTTTCAACAATTATTCTGCAATCAACATATAATTTTTTATTGATACAAAAATAATAAATCAATAAAGTTAAATAATTAAACGGTTAATATTCTTAAATGACTATTTATTATTTATACCTACCTCAAAAGTTATTTTAAAAAAGTAGAGATTACATTTTTAAGCATTATACAGTGAAATACACATTTCTTTTTTAAATTCAAAATCTGAGTTTACCATAATAAACAGATTCATATTGTACTACTTAGTTTTATTTAAAAAAAAAAAAAAAACTGTTTTTGGTTTTTGATTTATTTGCAAACAACTGTAAAGTATCGGTAGTATTTTCTTTTTTAGGTATGGTCGCTGGCCGTGGCCGTGGCCTGTCACAAGATCGTGATCGCGTTCTACGTGGGCCTGCAGATCATTTCGGACAACACGAAAGCGTGGTTGGCCCACGGAATGGTGTTCGTGTTCGCCGTCGCCTCGCCACTGGGCATAGGCGCCGGCGCCCTGATCTCCAACCTCGACAGCACCAACGAGATGGTGGTCATGTCCGTGCTGCTGCAGGGCCTGGCCACCGGCACCCTTACCTACGTGGTGTTCTTCGAGGTGCTCAAGCCGTCTCCGGGCCACCTGGGCGTCGGCCACAGGCTACTGAAACTGTTCTCGGTCGCCGTCGGTTTCGTCACAATGTTGGCCGTCATGCTCACCATGTCCGCCGAATAAAACCAATACTATGTACCTACTCACCTTTATGTATTACTATTGCAAACACATTTTGAACATGTCATAACACTTTTTTTTAAAACCGATTGCTTTTGAGTAGGATAATAACAATTATTGACTTTTATTTCGGCTGTTTTTCTTTATTGTCTGTAAAGAAAGTATGAACTTGATGAAAAATTGTAAAAAAAAAAATGATATTTCGACCAAAAAACAGCGACAGTAGATACACTGTGATATTATGATTGTCTTTAGGGCGTGCGTGATCGTCGAATCGTATTAATTTATGTGTGTTTAAGAATAATAACAATTTAATTTTTACCAAACCAGAATGTATATGTGTTTTTTTTTCTATATCGACCAACGATGATACGAGGGAGAGTATTTTGTTTATATTATTATTAATTATCAGTATTAATAAGAAATTCATACTGTAAGTATACATAATATAGCCGTTAAATTGGTATTCGACACATATTATCATCCTGAGTGTGTAAAACGTGAATAATTATTTATTCTTTATATATATTATGATTTTTGTCAATTGTCACCCATATATTATACATACTATGTTTTTATGATTTGTAATTGACGATATTTTATTATTAAAAAAAAAAAAAAATGATAATAATAAAGGACATAACCTGTTGTTTTTTGTGAAAATGTGTGATTTTTTAATAGCGCATTGTATTATGCGCTGTTAAGTTCCTAAAAAATGACTCTCGAGAGAAGAAAAAACTGCATTCCGTTAGTGAAACAATTAAACGAAACCGATTTTAATAATATAGGATTTAATATATGAAGATAAAACATAATAATCTACTTAATAGTAAATATTATATTAATTGTATTCGACTACATACTTTAAGAAAATTACTCCAACGCGAATAATAGAGATAATTTTTGAAGAAGTATAGGTACTTGTGAAAAAATAAAACTGCAAATCATAAACCATATTAGACCATATTGTTTGTGCTTGTTAATATGTGTAATTGTTTTTTATCAAAAGTCCTCGAACGAATGGCAAATGGCCATCATTCACTTAACGTTTGTATTTAAAATTGTGATGCAAATGTTTATTTTTTTTAGAGTTTTTTGTATTGCCAGACCCTAAACCCATTGCATGGTCTCATTTAAATTATAGACCATATTATTACAACGTGAGTAATGCCAATATAAATATGAACGCTGTGGTTTACTTGTACCTATAACCAACATGTAGCTTACGTGTTGTACCATGTTGTAACCTTTCTGAAAAGAGCAATATTTTCGTATAAGTGTTAAAATTTCAATTTTTCAAATAAGTCCACTCGAATCGCGTTCGAAAAGGATTAACTCCGTTTGAAAAGATAACACAAAACAAATAAAAAAAAAAAAAGGCCAGAAGATTAGGTGTATTGGTCTATTAAATTTAATGATAATTACTTCAAGTGTCAAACTTAACGACTTAATCACTTTACACTACTACAAAGCAGTGATATTGCTTACATCATAAATAGTTTAAATAAATCAAAAGGACGTTGTCTCAAAAACTTATTTTTTATACTCAGGGCACTCATAACGGACTTTAACGGTTGTCACTTGTCTGAATAATTCAACAAAATTGGAATATTTTCAATTATCAAGTTTAAAGTTTAAAAAAAAAAAAAAAAAAGGTTTATTACCTACTGTTGTAATTATAATAGTTTCATACAGCCGTTAAAATATATATTATTGAACTCAAAATACCATTTTTTAGTCTCGTCAATGGTTTTTTTTTTTAATAAATAGTTTTTAGAGAAAGTAAACAAAAAAAAACTGATGCTAAAAAATAAATGGGCGTTTAGATAGATGCGGATAAGAGTACTTTGAATTTTCAGCGCAGAGGAATGTGTACTTAACTACCGTTTACCCCAAATAAAACATATCCTTTATAAAATATACTATTTATTTACATATGATAAAATATTTGGATTTATCTTTTTTCTTTTTTCACACATATATTATAGTTGTAGGCAAGACCCAAGCCCCATTTATTTCTGATAAATATACACTTTTTAGTTTTAACTTGAAACTAGATTTTGCATAGAAATAATAGAATAGATGTACAACTAAATTCGAGCTTCTAGATGAGTATTTGTTTTTCCATAACATATAACTAGGTTTGATCAATTTGTACCGTGTTCTTTATTTTATTTGTTCATGGCCGCTTGAACAGCCTTTGCATAAAAAACATTATATTTGGACAAATAGAGGTATGTGTAGTGTGTTATTGAGATGAAAAATAAATAAACCACATAAAAGCCATTGCAAAGGATGTAAACATTTATTTTTCTTTGCATTTTTCGTGCGTCATCAACAGTCTTCATTGGCTTAATATGTATTTTTCTGTGTATTTTACATTATTGAACAATATTTAGGAGAGGCGAACAGCAGGCTTCAGCAGACACTGATAAAAATTAACACGGTAAGAATACTGGCAAAACATCTTTGGGGGGTGGGATGCCCTTCTCAAAAATCAACACCTCCCCAAAATCATTTCTCCCTGTTTATTTACTATTTTGTCACTACCAATTTTTTTTTTTTAAAGCACAGAGCCACTTAAAATTCAAAAAACATATTAACAACCAGCTGTGGGGATTTTTTACACTTATTTTCTTCTTAACCTAATTCATTCAGCCTTCTCGGTCGTGAATCGGTATAATCAATAATGTTGAATCTACACGTTAGTAGATATTATTATAATTATTATTACGGATTTTGTTTACGCTGGAAGTGACCCTTCCGTTTTGATCTATTCCGTGTTGCTGCTCCAGACGTCGTGACGAACAACAACACTCAACGGCACGCGGTCAGCGGACAACAATGGAACCGATGCGCAACGCTACCCGAAACGTTGCGCGACAATCGAATACGTTGCGGTCCGGTGTTATTGTCATGTTATAGCCGATTGTACTTGCCTATTATTGTGCGGCCGCGGCTCGGATGGTAAAACGCGGTAAAATCACAACAACAACAACAACCACCACAACAACGACGACGGCGGTCAAGTCCTTTCGGTCGTCCTGCTGCAAAGTGGCGGCCCGACCGTTACTGAACGATTGACCGGCGAAGCGGCTGACCGAAGCCAGCGGCAAAGTTGTGTTTTGTTTTTTTTATTTTCTTTATTTTCCGCTGCACTGTACGCGTGTGCCCCGGACGACGCCATGCCGCTAAAGGTGTTCAAGGAACACTCCGAGTCGTTTCCCATTGGCGACATACCCGCCGTGGTGGACGTGTTCCGGCGGGAACTGGCCAAGCGCGAGCCGGATCTGTTGCTGTTGTCGCTGGTGGCCGGCGCCATCGAGAACACCATGACCTGCGTCCGGCCGAGCATCGAAGTGCCGGCGGTGGCCACGGTCGAGACCAGCTTCGACCTGGAGCGGACGCCGCTCAGGCTGCCCGACATCGAGCTGCACGTCATCCAAGCGCTGTACACCAAGTTCTACTCGGTCATCAAAGGCAACGTCGACCCGTTGCAGTTCGACGAGCGCGACGGCTACGCTACGCGCGAGCTGGTCAAAAAGGTGTCGGACGTCATTTGGAACACGTTGACCAGGAGCTACTACAAAGACAGAGCTCACCTGCAGACCATGTACAGCTACTTAACAGGTCGGTTCAACTGTTTCGCCGAGGTGTCGTTCGTGTTGTCGTTACCTTTGATTTTTTTGGTGACTCTCTTTGCGTTTTCCAGGTTCAAAACTGGACTGTTTCGGTGTCGCGTTTGCCGTAGTCGCGGGCTGCCAAATACTCGGCTATAACGATGTTCATTTGGCGTTATCTGAAGATCATGCTTGGGTTGTTTTTGGCCCTAATGGCAATGATAACGCTGAAGTTACGTGGCATGGTAAATTATTATCGACACTCATCCGACCATCCAAGTTATAAATGTTGTTTTTTTATAATAAACAACCATTCGTTTACAGGAAAAGGCAATGAAGATAAACGAGGGCAGAAAATTAAAGAATCTGAACCGGGACACGGGTCTTGGCTTTATGTCAATGGCCACCCGGTAATTTGTAATAGACACATGGAAGTTTCTGCACTAGTCAGTTCTATTAACCCTAGTATTAATCAAGCCAATGATGCTTTAGAAGTTGCTACACTTCAAAAAAACCTTTTATGGTTACTTTACGATGAAGGTCATTTATCGAAATTCCCGTTAGCTCTAGGTATATTATATACTATACCCACCATAACATTAGTGTACGTTAATAATGTATGTTATTTTTATTCGAAATATCTTTAAAGGTAATCTAGGTGACTTGGAAGAACTCAGTGCAACACCAGGACGACCACCTTGTACAGCTTTGTTTGAAGAAGCTATATTAGCAGCACAAACATATTATAACGATATGTTTGTATATCCATACACTTATCAAGGTGGCTATTTTTACAGGCATAACATGATAAAAGATGCTTTTTCCAGTTGGGCTAAAGCCAGTCAAGTTATAAGCAAGTAAGAATTTCTGTACAATATAATAAATAGTATATTTAATATTATGTATCCAGAAAACAAATTTTCTCGTCCATTTGCTCGCACAATACTTCTTTCATTCAAAAGTTTCATTTAAATATTTACCTCTACATATCAATCCTGTTTGTGATATCGACCATATATTTTTTGACTGCTCTCTGTAAAATACCATTTATTTGTGGTTTTAGGTACAGTTTTAGTAAAGACGACGAAGAGCTTTACAAAGAAATGATGGACATTGCCTATGAATTAATTCCATATTCATTAAAAGAAATGACTTGTGGTAAAAGTAGATCAATACTGAACAATCCGCAATGTTATGCTTATGTTCTATCAATTTACGATGGTCTTTGCCTTTGGGAAGAAGACGGAATGACGCCCGTGTTGCACATTAAATGGGCAAAACACTTTATTAATTCCATATCTAAATTTGACGATAGCGTGAGGACAAGACTTATCATCTTAGAACCAAATGTAAGACCATTACATGTCTGTTAGAATTGTTGTTAATGTTAAACATACGTTTTAGGACTTGGAAAATGACACAGATTCAAAACGAAATTACCATGACGCCAACATCAATAATAACAATCAACCTATGTCCAAGGACGTAGCAAACAACACTGCGGTGCTCGGTGCCGACGACGAAGTGAAATCGGAACTTCATCCGGGCATTAAAGCGTTAACAGCGGCTTGTAGTGAACGAATCTTGAATAGAGATTTTTTGCTGCAAGGAGGTGGAGAACCGTTTGTGGGCAATACGGACGCAATACTTCCGTCCGTTGTCGATACTCCATTACTACCGCACGCCATCGAACCGACATTGGTCGACGATGAGCCTGAAACCTCGATTGTATTGAAAAGCAAAAAAATGCGCGGCATGAAGGACTTGCTAGTGGCAAAGAAGTTGAATACGCAAGCAATCAGCTTACAAATGAGTGCTCAGTCGCAAGGAGGAAAACGACACGCGCCCAGAGATGCTTCGGAACCAGTGTCTAGGAGAAGTAGAAGAAGTATCAACTAAACAAATGTATACTCTATTTATACATTGAACGTAAGTGCAATTTTTTGTTTTTTTTTTTCAAATTATCTTTTCTGTTTTATTTAACATAACTCATGGTATGTTACTTACTTGTTAGTAATTTAAGATGATTATTAGATAGATCTTAAATTAGAATTATATATATTATGTGACATAGAATCTCTTTTTCGAGATGTTCAATATGTATGGGTGATGGTAGCTAACATTGATTTAGTTAACATCTCAATAGTATTTATAAATAATTTTTTTTTTTGAAGAATAAGAAAATTCTATATAAAAACTATTAATGTATAATTATTTGTTTTATCGTCTTAACACACAATACATAAAATATAGTTCCTTTATTTTATTTTAAAAAATATTATCGACAATGCCGTTTTATTACTAGAATTGGTAATAATAATTAACAAGTCAGCAATTGTTCTTATTTATTGTATCTTTTGCAATATTTAATTAATTTTGCTTTATACTATTATCGTATACGAGATTTTTGTTACTAGTATGCAGGTTCTTTAAGTATGAATATATATTTTTCTAAATAATCAACACAAAGCTTTACTGTTTAAGATGATAAATAAAGAAATGTTGGCATTTTAATGCTTATAAAGATTTGTCAGTATAAAATCCATTATATCATATTGTTTTCTTCTTTTTAACAGACTGCCCGATTATGTGTATTATTTTTAATATAAAGGCGCTCTTAAGACTAGGCTTTATTGCCGACAACATCCATACAACCATATAACTAATATAAATTAAATGTTTTATTATTACACTATATGAAACTTGATAATGATATTTGGTCTATTTTCAAAAATCAATAATTTGTATTTGAGTTTGAAAAAAAAAATATATAGATGTATAATATATATAAAAATATATTAGAGTTATAGAAACTGATTCCATTGATTATTGATGATTATAATATATTTATATAATACCTAAATATTCTGTTAAAAAGTTATCTTTAAATTTTAATATAATCAAATATTTTAATATTAATTTGTTAAAGTTGTTAAAGTGATTAATTAGTGTTACCATTTTTTTTTTTTTTAAATATTACGAATATACTAAATTTGTGATTTAAAATTTAGCAGTTTTTTTTTTTTTTACCTCAATCATTGCATCTTTGTGCTGTTATAAAGTAAAATTTAAGTGTCATAATGTTAATATTATATTACATTACTTAAATGTGTAATTTCCCGATAATTATCAATAACGTTGAAAAAGCTATTATGTTTATGTAGATTTTTTTGTAAGAAATATATGTTGCTACGGTTATTACCAACCGATATTTTTATTCTTGTGAATAGTAACACGGTTATTAAAGAAAATAATATACTAATAATTTTAGTGTTTATATCCCATTTTTTTTTTTTTTATCATAGATACTTATGTGAATAAAATCTAAATCGTTTCTCTTTTTCTCAATAACCAAATTTATATTACCAAATTGTTTGTGTCATTGTCAGTGTACTATTTTTGCATTGTAGTAGAAATACGTAATTATTTGTTAAGCAACTCTTTAATCGTTTACCATTTTAAGTATTACCTTTTAAAAAACAATGTAATAATTTGTTTCGTAAACATTCGATCATTCCAAATAAGTATTATTAAATGTATAATGTATTGATAGAAATGTGTAATATTGCGAATAGCGTTTTTTTTTTTTAAGTAACCGATTAAAAATGAATAGGTGCTACTTAAAACTCGTTAATTTTTACAGTTTATGTTAGCAGCTATTAGATTTTTTTTCCCCAAATCGGCTAACTTTAAATATTATCATTATAATTACAGGGTCGACGTTGCCATATTACTAAATGTTAATATTAAATAAGTAATCTACTTCTCAGTATTGTTGTATACTAAATTTTATGTATAGGACACGTTTGAAAAAAATAAAATCATTTGGCAATAATAAAAAAAAATCCTGTTCATCATATAGAGGTCAATGTCTTTAATAAAGTTTTATTAGAAATTTGTGATACTGTTAATGATATAATAATTTGTATTTAACAAATTAATATATTAATTTAATAACTGATAATAAACTATACTATTAACGTTTTAATGTTAGTGTACATAATTTTAATTTATATCACGTATGTCGTCGTATATTATTTTTTTTAATCTTTATTATTATACAAACAGTTATAGTTGTTACGATAGTGGTTTTTTTTTTTTTAATTTGATCGATCTATAATAAACTATGTATCATTCAACTTATATTGGACAATACTCGTAATGTATCGATATGTATTTTTTTTTTCAAAATAGTTTTACCGCTATGTTGTACGGACATTCTAATGACAATATAATGTTACGACCGATACAAAAGTGTCGCTGATTTTAAATATTCTATTTGTGTTAATACGTAATAGTATTTTTTCATTATTCTATCAAAACATGTTCATTTTTATGGAAAATAATTAAAAACTATAATAATAGTGAATATAAAAATGTTTTATGAAATGTTTACTATAGTTTTACTTACAAAAAAGCCTTATTATTATTAACATATTAGAATACAGTTTATTTTCTAATAGACAATGATTTACCACATTAAAATTGATAATTTTTGAAAAAATTTATATTCTCTTTTTAAGGATCAATAATTAATTAAAAGTAATCAAGGGCTTTTATAACTATAATAAGCATCAAATGTTTTATATTAAGTTACGAAATAAATTTGATTATCATTTTTATCGTTACAATTTTTGAATTTTACGATATTGTTGGACAAATGGTTTGTTACTTTTGACTTTGCATAACATGATAAAATTATTAATTAGTATATTTATTACAATCGGACACTATATCTTTGAATTCAATAAAACCTATTAATATGTGTTAAGAAAAAACAAACTTAAAAGCTAAGTTAAAGAGTAATTATAATTCCGTTACGGTCAAAACATTATTAAATATTGTAATTCAATTGAACAAAATAATATGTACTTGCTTTAACTATTATTATCGTAATTTTTTTTTTATCAATTTATTGTATTACAATTTATTCATTTTCAAATAGCAAAACATTTTTATCCTAAAATAATGGTACGATAAAGTACTTTGGTCGTCAATTCTATTGACCAATAAAGCGTTGTTATATTTCAAATTAAAATCATCTTCCTTTGGTAATAATAAAATCATTTTTTTATTTTAAACATAACCAAAACAATAATAGCTTCTACTTATTTATTTACTCTTGTTTATGTATATCTAATAAGAAATTCAATTAAACGGAAACGATTTTGAAATATTTTGTTTAGAAAAAAAAAAAAGAAATCTTAATGATGTTATGTTTTTTTAGTTGTATGTACACATCACAGAATACCACCTTATTAATTTATTTAAGCCTTTTATTAGTTGTAAGAGTATAAAAATATAATTCAGACGTATTTGGAAAGTATTAAAGTATTTTGTTTCAGTGCGTTTTTATTATGTTTAAAAATTGCATTACTGCACTTGTTTAATTGGGTGCGAGTAATTATTTTTAACCTGTTCTATTTTTCAACTATGTTAAAGTATGATTCAATTATGAATGTTAAATTTTGTTAGTTATAAATATTTATCAAAGTTAAAATAAATGCAATGCTTTTAATTAGTACTACACTTGTATGTTTAATTATTATTTGCCCTCTGCCGCTGATATTATTGAATAGCTTGTCGATAACAAACTGGTATCCTTAGCCCAAACTAGCCAATGCTTCCAGTCATCTAATAATGAATGTGGAGCTTGCCCTTTAAAATATACTATAATTCACTCACAGTGTCGAGTAATTTGAAATTATAATAACTTCTAAATGTAAAACGCTAAACTTCCATACAATACTTCTGTTCTCTTTTTTTATTTTACAAATTCGGTACTCGAAAAATAACAATTGTATTCTAAGCAAACTATAATATTATTATTACAAAGTTCTAGACTGAAAAAATTCTGTTTCAATACGAACACACAGTTTCACTAAATTATCGTAATTTCTTACAGTAGTGGCGAAACGGTTGTTCAATAACGGTGTTGTAATGATTGTAAACAAATGTCCAAACACTAATGCGTCTAATTCAGTCGGTCTGCAAAAACGATCAAGACGAAAAAAGATTTGAAATTTCATAATGCAATAAATTAATATATAATATTTTCATACTTTTCGTCGAAAAAGTACTTCTTATTTCCCAAAACGCTCGACAATGACTCGCAAATTTTGTCTACGTCTTTGAACACTTCGTCTAATGTTTTCTTTTTCCAATTTAAAACTTCCAAAAGCGATAGCATGGACTGTCGTTTATAGTACGTAGCTAAATGGTTCAAGGGAAATGGATAAACTGAACTATACCTCTGCTTTGTTATTTCTTTATAAGTTGACTCGTGATTCCATGTTACATAAATCTATATATATAAAAAAAAAATGATAATTTAAAAACGCTGTATAATTAACGACACGAGTAAATCTGTGTAATAATAAATTACCTCGGCATTTAGAAGAATGTTGTATACTAGTGACATGTAAACCCGCAAATCCCACTTTTGGGTTTCACTTAAGTGAGTAGACAGCGAATAACCCTATAGATAAATGTGTAATATTAAATACTATTAATAAAAAAAATATACATCAAAGTATAAACAATAATTTTTACTTTGGTTTGGGCAAAGTTAACAATTGGCTCGAAACCAGCAATTAAAAATTGGCCAGCTTTAATGAACGGTACTTTGCCTCGATGTGGTGACATATATTCGGCATTTTCTCTGGCCTCCACGATAAAATCCAAATTTAACATTTTTAAAAACGTTTTCACCGCCAGACATTCGGAACTCTCGGGCATCAATATTTGTTCTGTTTCGTAGGGCTGATATAATACAGTATTTTTTGGCCATTCACCTTCACCTTAAAAATACATTTTTATTTTATTTTATAATTAGGTACACGAAATTATATACGTGTATAGAAAACTGTGCGTCCCAGTTCTCGGCTCTATAAAAAAAGAGGCTGATTTACCAGATTAGCTGATTTATCAAATTCACTAGAAAAAATCTTTAAAAGGCAAAACAATAATTAATAGTTAAAACTAAATATACTATGTATTGGTAAAATATTCATTTTGAAACCAGTCAGATTTAGGTGCTTCTAAAAAAAGTAAAAATATCCCTTTCAGCATCGTCTAATTAACACGTTAACAGTGGGATGACATCAATTGGCGACAATTAGCATATTTAAAAATATGATAGTCAGTGAACGTGTTAACTTCTCTGATAAAAATAATAGAAAATTTAGATTATTTTATCAACGACAAGAACAGAGGCACAGTTAACCAGAAAATAGGTTGTGTAAGAGATGAAGATGAGTGTTATGTTGGTTATAATATTAATAATTAAATATTACCACAAATCTGAGTTCTCAGGCATTCTCTTGTCAGTATTCCGGTTGCATTTTCGAAATTTGTCATTTTTATTATTATCTAAACAACACAAATGTTATTATCCATAGTAACAAAAATAGAAGTAGTTTTTACTTTAGTCTAAATATAATAACAACCTAAATATTACAAATTTTTATAAAACAATTAAATAAAATATAAAATGTAGACTTTTAATTAATTGCTCTAACATCTACTAATTTTTTTAAATTATGAAGGACAGTACATTAAATTTTAAAAAGTTTATAAGACTTGTAAAAAAAATTAGTGAAAATGAAAATTAAATAATGCATGCCAATGTAAAATAATATAAATTCATATATAGGTATCCATAGAGTAAAAAAATCATACCATTTCAGTTTTTTTTATAGATAATTATTACCATAGATATTAATCATTTGGTTCAAAAATTTAAAAAATAACACTACACATTATCAAAATAAAAAACTATTGAATAATAGTATTCGATTATAATAAAATATTATTATTATAAACGTTTTTGCCGAGTTTATTGATAAAGCCTCGATTGAACTTACTATTAAATGAATATACGTACATGGGTTTACTTACTTATTTTTTATAACTCAGCAATCAATAAATTTAATTTAAATAAATAAATTTAATCAAATTAAACGAAGAAAATGTTTATATATAAATCACTAAATATTGATACACTGCATAACTGCATAGGTAATACAAAATAAACCTTTAACTTTAAAAAAAGTCAACTTCACAATTATTTAAAATATTATTTATCGTTTTTGATCATCTATTATTCATTAAAATATTTTTAAAAAAAACTATTATTTTAAAGTCTAAAGTAAACTTGCAAAACATTGTATTGAAAAAATTAAAGTAATATTATGTTATCACCAAGAAGACTGTTCACTGTTATCATCATTATGCAGTGCTTATCACCTTGGTTTTTTTTGTGATAAGGAAGGGGGGGGAGTTAATTAAGTAATGCCGAATACGTTTATAGACTAGTCTGTGTACTTATAATTGGAAAAGAAGCCCTAGTCCCTACAGTTTTATTGCAATTTCATAAACGTTCTATTTTGGTAGTTGGCACAAAATGTCAATCGTTAATATTATTTTCGACATCGTTGTGCAAATCCAAGGGGGATTTTAAAAATTACAGCGCTCTATAACTTTTTTTTTGAAAATAGTAGAATTAGTTCCAAATTTGTATGGAATATTCTTTAATCATAGTACTATCGATAAACGTTGACAAACCAAACATTTAAACCTTTTCCCCCTAGAACGGGTAGAAACTTTATTTATTTCACTTTTCCATTCCCACTATGCCCCGACCCCACTGTACTGGCTTTATTGTTATTTACATATAATAGACTATACTCTATTATAGATAGGGTATAGTAAATTTAATCTAAGCCCGATATTAGATATTTTTCTGTGTACCGTCTAGGTTTTAATTTGTTTAGATTTAAACAACTGTCAACTGTTAGTATGCAATCGCTCGTGGTCCAATTTATGCAATGTAGTATACAGGCGATTCGTTAAGGACAAGGCACTGATTTTCTTTGAAAATAATTACAGTTTTTTCATTTTAAATATTTTTGTTATATTTTACAATAATTTAAATTTACTAAATATATTTTACCTACTTTTTTTTAGAACTCTAAACTTTTCAAACTTTAACCGTAACGTATATATATAATTAACTTTTTGAATTAAGAATAATTTGCTGAAAATGTTGATCACTGGTCGATAATCAGTTTTGTCAGTTACTGTTTAAGTTTTTAAAGTTTAAAATTTAGAAAGACAGGTTGAGTGCGGTAGAGTAATGCGCGCAAATAAAAGTAATGCTTAATTTTTACCTCTAAAAGTAATTATCCGAAATTGGTTATTTAGTTAAGCTAGTTTAATAGAATACTATACGTTTCCATTTAAGTTGCTAGCGGATCGAAAAAATACAAATTTGAAAGTAAATTTTAGCTAAACCTATATAAAAAAAGCCAGTGGTCATTTTCAGACCTAAGTCCTTAAAAAATTTGCTTGGAAATAATGAAATAAACAAAAAATGTCTATCCCTTCTAGGGAAAGGGCTTAGAATTTTTTTATTATTCCTGCATTTTCATAAGGGTTGTATGTTATCTTTAAATTATGGGAAATTGCTTTATTTGCTACTGAGGTATACCTACTTCAATTTTAGCCACATTTTTATAGTTGTTATAATTATTTACGATGGCTTTGATACACGACTGACCATCTTATTTTTACAGTTTCCGTGTCAATCGGTCGGATATTCTATTAAATAATATGTATTTGTTATTAAAATAAAATTACATTTGAAACATAAACATGTATTATTGTATTGTTGTTGTCGGTCGTTACTTTTTTTCGAAGATCAGTTGTAGACATATACAGCATTCGAGAATGTACCTATTGACTAAAATGTTTTTTAATTGTCAGTTAACACATTTATCCATTCCCCATTCTTCATTCATTGAAATATACTTATATTTTTAATAGTTTTTACCATGCACAATTTCGCATACCTAGAATCGTTTTTTTGAAAATAGTTTTTATCTCTTACAGTTTATAATAATTCCAAACGACTTATGACTTGAAATTCCCTACTATATGCACCGATCCAGCTGTGCTGGTTTTTTTTGTTTTATACACTATAAATAATAATTATACTGAACTTCATTGTGCGAAACTATTAATAATATACATAGTTATTAAGTTCAAATTAACTATCAAATAATTCTATTCGGAAGATAGGGGTAGAGGTAGAGAGAACCATGTAGGTATTTTTTAAATGCTATTATTATTATAATATAATTTGTTACAGATCTGTTTGTATAGTTACAAACGCTTAAAGGTACTTAACAACTTTCAAGAACGTGTCTTTGCAGCATTTTGAGTTGGCTTGATAATTTTTCGATAATAATAAATATTTCACTAACGTTGAAAAAAAAAAATATATATACAATTTTAATTTTTAATCACTTATGAATATCAGACAATAGACAACACTAGAATAGCAGAAATGTATAACTTCTATGATACATGTACGTGCTGTATGTATATATATATATATATACATTACATGTACACATAATATGTTTAATAATAGTTTTTATTAAAAAAAAGAAAGTTCAATATTTATAATTAAATATTAATGTATTTTTGGACATAAGCTAGTTATGTACTCGTTTAAAGACATATTTGAATTTCATATCTTAACCGTTTAAATTTAAATTAACCGCTAAATTAAAATTTTTTACTCCATGTTTTTTCAATTTTTATTCAATTAGATTTCCAGCCTTTCTGTCTAAAAATACCAACGCTTTCTTTTAGCTTTCTTTTTCTATATTTATCGTTTTTTAATAATAATTGTCGCCAGCCGTCTAGGAGCATGCGTTTATCAATTTATTATCAGTTTTGTCCACAGTGTAGGTAAGTTAGGAAAATCTGTATTTATTTCATATTTTTGGAAATTATGTTGGCTGCTCTGATCGGACGACATTTTCTTATCGGTATTCGGCACTCGGCGTGTAAAATAACAATACAATAAATTATATTATATCTTGAATCGTGTCGTGTTATAAACTACATCCACACCGCACACGATTGTAACTACATAATATTACAAGTTACCATTTATTACTGTTCAATTGTTGTCGTTAGATTGATATATTTTACTTAAATTAATATTTATAATTTAATATTAATTAACAACTATGGCCGAAGCTATGAGACAAACCGTGGCATCGTTGTTGCAAGGAATTGAGAGGTAATGTTATGTCGCTTGTTTTCGGTGTACCTACGTGTGGACAGTTAATAATAATCTTGACGTATTCAACGTTATTTTTATTTTGTTTAGATACAATCCTCAGCATTTATCTACACTCGAACACTACGTCGAAGTACAGTCTCAAGAAAATGCATACGATCTGGAGGCTAATTTGGCTGTGCTTAAAATTTATCAGTTTAATCATGATTACAACTTGGACATAACTGTTCAAATCATGTTGAAAGCGATTACTAATTTCCCGCATTCTGATTTTGTCCTGTGCAAGTGTTTGTTAAACGAAAAATTGGTAAGAATTAATAGCACGTTCTTAACTTTTTTAAGAAATACCAAAGACCATTATTATACTCTATTCGGTTTAAGATTGAACCGCTCGGCTGAAGATAACTCGTCACCACTACGTATCCCTCCGTCTCTAGACGACCCACGCCTACGACTAGACGGCTGTCGTCGGTGATTGACGACCAGTCACTGAACGTATAGCGCATCATGCTTTCTATTTATTCTTAAATGACAGTTCTTAATGTCCTAGTCATAACCTTTCTTTACCTTCAAGTCTTTGGGTGTTTGAAAGTTTAACTATCGTTCACGTGGCGGCATTTGTACCGCTCTCTGTTTTGTAAGAGAGACTTTGGCAATTTTTTATTTTTATACGATTATAAAGATATTATTTAGAATGGTCAAGACTTAAGATTGAAATTATTTTAAATGAAATTTTACTATCAACTAATTAATTAATTTAATAATATATTAATACTAATAATATAATCACTAGATTCATATTAAGACCTTGAATTTTTTGGCCATGTTTACAACAGAGTACTATTTCAGAAAAAATCTGAGTATAGTATTATTTTTACTGCAATTTAATTGTGTATGCGTTTCATTAAAATTGTTCCCCTTTGTAATTAAAAACATCTAAACTATAAAGAGGTTCTTTACTATTGAAAGATAGAAAAAATGTACTATTTTTGTGGATTTTCTCATAGATGCTACTCTCGATCGTTATTCGAGAACTTGTACCTAATAATAATTTAAGCGACAGTATATATTTTAGTGTGCATGGACATTTTTTCTTAATTTTTTTTTTTTTTTGTTCTCTTAGTGTCAAGAAGCTCCATTAAGTCAAGTGCTGTTTTTAGCAGATCTACTAGAAAATTGCAATTTTAAAGAATTTTGGTATCACGTTCATTCTATGCCTGAATTATATGCCAAAGTGACTGGATTTTTGGATTCCGTACGAAAGTTTGTCTGCCACGTAATTGGAATTACATTTCAATCTGTTGAAAAACACTTCCTCATGGAGTTGCTCGGAGGTCTTGATGGTATGTAGTAGCATTTGAAAGTAAATCATATCCCACCTTTATGTTGTTTTTTAATATTTAATTTTCCGTTAAGATGCTGCGCTGAAGCATTGGATTCAGAAATACAATTGGAAAGAACTTGACAACAAGTACGTGTTTATTGCAAACCAAGACGAAAATATCAAAACAAAAAATATTACAGAAAAAATTGATTACGAAAACATTTTAGGAGTTATGGCAAGTTGCCGTTAATCTTTTTACAATTTGATTGAAAGGAAAAAAAAATAAACTTTAATCTGATTTATTATATACTTTATTTTTTGTGTAGTATATAATAATAAATAATTCAACGATACTTTTGTAAAATTAATTAGTTTTACATTGCCACGGTGTTGGAAATAAACACCTTAATAAAAAAAATGTTTTCTTTTACACTTTTTTTAAATAACAACTGGTTGCTAATGATTTACCTCAATTTTTTTATCACAAAAAACTTCTATTAAATGGCAGCGTACGAGAAATATGACTAGACAATATAAGTACAAAAGATGTATAGATTACTTTCTAGTTTCTTAGTATGATTTTAAGAGTAAAGAGTAGTAAAGTTTTGACTATGTGCTTCGATAAATAAGCGAGTTTTTTTGTGGTTTCAAAAATTCTTCAATAATTGCTTCGACCATCTCTTTTAAAATAGTCTTCAGTTTATCTATGTCGCTGTAAAAGAAATGATTAAGAGTAAAAAATACGCAAATAAGATTAATAATATTAATTATTAAAATAGAATTAAATTTGATTAATTAATACTAACACACAATCTTTAGGATCAGTACATAATTCGGCATAGTACTTTATTTTGGGTTCCGTTCCACTTGTGCGCAATGTGGCTTTCAATCCATTATCAAAGTTGAACGTAATCATTTGAGTTGACTTCGAAACTGGTAACAGAGGTTTGTGATCGTCTGTCTCCGAGTCGTAGCCGACAGTTAAGTCACGTACGGATTTTATTGAATAACGGCCATTCATTATACTTTTTGGATACTGAAAAGTCATAGCTGATTATTTAAATTTGAAAATTGTCCAGTTTAGATATTGCAAGCAAAGGTTAAGATATATAATTGGAATAATTCACTGTGAAATCTTACGTTGTAATCATGTCTTAATGATTCGAATATATTTTTTATTGTAAGACTGTCGTTGCATATAAAATATGAGTTTACAGATAAATGCCAACCATAACTAAAAAATAATATTGAGTTAAAATTATTTTTATAAATAAAAAAAATGTCGATTTCTATGAATTCTATACCGGTTATAAATAGTTTCCAAAGCGGAAGATAGTGTGGAATTTTCTTTCTCTAAATAAATAGCCATTTCTGCTATCTTAATAGCTGCTGATATTCCATCTTTATCCAACACGGCCGTGCCACACATGTAACCAATTGATTCTTCAAATGCATATAGAACTTCATAACCTTCTGCGGCTAACTGATGTGCACGGTTGCCCATCCATTTAAACCCCGTTAGCGTTTCCTAAAAATATAATACTAATTATACACGTCTTGTACTTACACACACACCTAGTAACAAATATCGATCGATAACTCACTTCAAACAGAACACCTTCTACTTTAGCAATAGATTTTAAGACCGCTGAAGACACCGTACTCGAAAGCATAACTAATTTAGGATGTGCTTGGCCGTGTATTTTTTTATATGAATCGATCATCCACCAACCCAACAGAGCTCCAAGTTCGTTTCCGGTAAATACTTTCCAGCCTTCACTGCCTATACTGTGTAATATACTATTTGTTATTATTAATATATAGGTTGATATTATTTTTTTTTAGAAATTAGACAAATACATTTTATTACGATTATATTTTATAGATGTTATTTAAATATAAAATGAACTTACGGATGTTCTGCTACTGCTAATCTATCAGCGTCTGGATCGTTAGCCAGTATAATTCTACTACCATTATTTTCAGCCGTTTCGATAGCTAATTTTAATGCACTCTTGCCTTCTTCTGGATTTGGAAACGGTACGGTTGGAAAATCTGGATCGGGATGCTTTTGCTGTTCTACTGCTACGACAGGCTAAGTATAAATTCAAAAAAATCCATTTAATATAAATTTAGACATAATGTGTCATTTTGTCGTTAAAATTGTATTATCCCATCCCTATTTAGAATTACTTACGTTGAAATTTGCTTTTTCAAATGCATTTCTTATGTAAGAATACCCGACACCGTGCATTGGCGTATAAGTAAAAATAATATTTGTTGATTTTTTATCTAAGCCGGGGATCAGCATTTCATTGACACAAGAATAGTATTTCTTTTGTAGATCGTCCAGCGGATCTACTAACAAAGGATTACTGTATATTTTTTCCACGTCCCATACGCCTTCTTCTGGCTCCAAATGTTCTAAAATATAGTTCTGAATATTTTTATCATGTGGAGTGATCACCTAGAAATTTATTCATCGGGAATAAAAAAATGTTATACAATTCTGTAAATATATGTGAAATAATATTTTAGTTTGAAGATACAATTTCTTCAAATTTACTAACTTGAGTACCATTATTCCAGTAGACCTTGTACCCATTGTCTTCTTTAGGATTGTGTGAAGCAGTCACCATTACTCCGCCACAGCATTTATACTCCTTTACGCCAAACGCTACAAACGGAGTTGGACATACTGTCCTTATTAAATAGACTTTAACGGAATGTCTTAGAAACACACTAGCCGACAACTCGGCAAACCTACAAAAAAAAAAAACGTAATTATATTAAAATGTAAAAAAAAAAAAAAATACACGTCACTAACCTTTTGCTGTTATAACGTCCGTCGTATCCAAGAAATATTCCCGCGGACTTTAACGCTTCACCAAATACACTAATCATATAGTACAACAATCCTTGTGCACTTTGTATAACGACCAGTTCATTAATGCGCTTGAAGCCTGGAGCCATTGCAGACCTAAGGCCGGCAGTGCCAAACGACAAACGACCATCAAACATGTCTCTGATTTTATTAACATCTTTTGCCATCAGTATTCTTTCAAGTTCTATAGCATATTGTTGCGACTGAATAAAATAAAAAATACATTAAAAAAGTAATATTATCCAAAACATATGAAGGACTGCGGAGAAAGACTATTACAGTCACGCGTCAATTTTTTTTCTCTAAAATTTACATTAATAAATTTGATTATTTTGTAATTAAATGACTTATAGTCATTAGAAAAAAAAAATATATTACTTTATCTGCGTTACATTATACTTTATCTACCAGTGTCTTTTAAGAGTTCTCAAACTTTAAAACTGCAACACTGAAAACTGAGTGTATTGACTTTGGTCATTTTTCTCCACAGCCCTTCATATAATATATAAATATATAATACAATTATTAACTATTTTACCTTGTTCCAACATATCCAGTTTTTTACAAGCAATTCAAGTTGTTCGGGCAAAAAAGATGTGTCCATTTCTCAATAAAGGTAGGATTATTTCAATGCATGTAAACAAAAACGTTTCTTATTCAGACGTTCAACAAGATACAATATACATTTCCCAATTATAAAGAGTATATTAAACCAATAATAAGCTATTTTTTAATGTACAAGGAATGTATGAAGTGAAACAATTTTTACTGAACTCAATATAATATTATTACTATAATACATAGGCGTATGGAGTTCAGTGAATATTAAACAAATCCAAAATCCAAATAATTGATCTTCGTGTAAAATATACCCTACTCTTATCACAGATTAGTTATCTCATTCGTTTATCAGCTAATCTGTGACCTTACCATTCTTGCCATTTATCTCCACAGAGTAGATAAAAGCTGAAGGGTCACTTTCAATGTAAAAAAGCGGGGTCGAATGAAACCTCTTTGAAAAATGTTCCTCTATGAAGTACCTTCCCCGTGTTAATTCTTATCAGTGTCCGGGGCCTGTTATCACCATAGATAATACAAATTGTTCAATATTTATCACCGACTTGCTTATCAATTTTATCATTCTAAAATATTATACAAATTGGAATATATATTCTAAATTTTTTTCCGGTTAATTTATTTTAACGAACAAAATGATTAGCCTACAAACTTTTAAAGTAAGCTGTTTTCCAAATATTGCCGGAAACAATGTTAAAAATTGCGGTTCGTTCGCTAAAATGAATTACCTCCCGTTCTCCAAGTTTGTCTACAATAGAAACCCGAGAAATTTGGAAAAGTTACGGATTGCGTATAAGCCGGCTGGTTACCATTTAGAAAAACCAGGACGCGAGTTTTGGAACAAGTAAGTGAATTGAACAATTAAGCAATATTTTATACTTCTATGTTCTTTTTACTCTATTGTGGTTTTTTTTATCCAGATTGCAAATAAGCACGAGTAAACGGCATGTGACTGCTAGTGTTTTACATCATACCGGTGCAATACCTATATTGGCGTCTACTGCTGAATGGGCAATACGTAAACAGCTCTACAGGTATGTAATGCGTACAAATTTCAAATATGACATTATTCAAATTTGCAAAAAAAAAAAATGTTGATTATACATTTTTATTGTTAATAGTACTCTGGATAAGACGGCGTATGCAACTATCGGCAAAGTTTTAGCACAGCGTTGTTTAGAGAGTGGAATTTTTGAAGTATTAAACACTTATGAACCTGTTCCAGAAGGCAAAGTATGTATAGTTGTAGATATTTTTTTTTTTTATTCTTCATCTTGTTGTAAATCACTGGAGCGCGGCAGAATTCAAATACCTCTAATCATTCCAGTCAATAGTCACTATAGTTCCATCATTGCCTTTGTTTTGATTTGTTAGCTTAAATTTGTCTACAATAATCGCTATGCATAATATGCTTAAGTCTTAACGTTAGTTGCGCGATTTTTGGTCAAACTTAAATAAAATAGGAGAACGATCTTGTCTCAAAATGTTGTCAGAATTTAGTGCAAAATTTGGAATAACCAATAACTCAAAATTTTAAAAGCGTTATTTAGTTAGGACCTGTCTTGTTAGTGGCACTAAAACTAGTAAATTGTAAATATTTAAATACAACTTTGAATTACAGGTTGATACATTGCTACAAAACTTATTGGACGGAGGAGTACAACTAGGAGAAAGTCCAAGGTATAAAGCACCTCAGCCATGGGATCGAGAAAGACCGGAGAAACCCTGGGAACATTATTAATATTAATTTATGTTGCCATTTATCATATAGGTATATCTTATATGTATATATATTGTTACAACATTTCTTTATTTTGTATTTATAGTAAAAAGTAATAATTAATAAATGTCAATTAAAAAGTTCCATTTTATTAACTTGCTACTGCTAAAAAAAAAAGCCAGTACGGTGTAGAAGACGGAACATGAATTAGTACCCCTGAAAGTGATAAAATCCTTTTTAAATAAACACTTTGATGCGAATCTGTAGTGTTAGAAATATAAATATCAATTAAAGCATTGTACAGAAATGAGAAGCTATTAGCTATCGCGTCGAGGCTAAATTCAAACTTTAAGTAATGCTTTTCCATTGACAGTATCCATATTGTTATTATAATTATTCATTAACAATCACTCCTCCTTCACCTATTTGTTCATAAGCGGCTTTTACCGTACAAAAGAACACATTAATTACTATCCCTAATATGCGGAGGGCTATATCTAGCGGCAGACCACTACACCATACCCAATAAAAATAAAAAATAAAATCCCTGCCATATAACCGATACATGATTATAAAAATGCCGGACACTTCAGTCATACGACAATCTTTCGAGCGCAGTTCAGAACGAACTTCTAAACTGCGGACCCATCAAACCACACATAACGGCATCGCAAGCCCCAATTCAACATCAGGACAAACAACGCAACAAGGTAATAAAATTGTAATCATTTCTGACAGTGTACAGAATAAAATTAAAAGAGCATCATGAAAACGAAAAAGACATAATAAACGCCGCAAGTCTAGACCAAATCATAAAAAAAAAAAATAAATAATAATAAACACACCCTAATGACACACGGCACACCCTAAATATACACAATTTTTTTATTAAAATTTTTTTTCTTCTCTCTACACTAAAACATTGATTTTTTTTTTTCTGAACCACACCACATTATTCAAATTATATACCATTTAACCTGTTACGTCTATTGCCACGGGCACGTGGCAAATAAAAAAAACTGTGGTGCATTTTGTAATATATAAAATTATACCTGCAATGTAGTTATAATTTGTAATCTATAATATTATTATTATTATTTTAATAAACGTTAAACACACACACACACACTGATATCCCCTCTTAAAGATCTATTATAACCATTCACTGTCATCCACAACCAATCTCAACTTCAAGGAAAGTAGGTAATCATACAACTATTCAGAAAAATAATAGCAGCGATAAAGAAATTTAAATAAATATAAAGAGTTAAATAGTAAAATCGTTCTTGACCAGATGTGGAAATTTGTGCCCCGAGACAAATTGCAGCAAGGGATGGAAATAAAATACATATATAACACATATTATGTATCTACATTGAATATGTTTAACATAAAATAAAAAATCAATGGCTGAGTATAAATTCGAAAAAAGATTTCATTGCAAAACCAACATAATACTTTTGAAAGATCTTGTAAACGTTATGGATTTATCAAGTTTTTGTACAAAATAGACCCCGTAAGCGTTATAATAGTTTAATAAAAAACAATTAAATATCAAAATATATCCTTCTTTATTTGTGAGTATAAATTATGTTTTCAAATAAAGTTTAACAGATAAAGTTTTCTAGAAGTCTTAAAATGTATTTTTTCCGCCATACAATTATAAAACTAAATTCGGAATACCTAAAATTGTCCTGTTTTTATAACTTATAATTTATTCTGTAATAATAATCAAAATCTTTTTAACATTAGAGACTTTAAATAATAGTACAACTAGGTCGAATTTAAAGACGTTGTTTTTGTTTTTGGATACACTTCTTATTTAGAGCATTGGTGTACGACTAACAAACACAGTTTGGTAGAGCCCGGATATAGTCGGCATGAAGTTTTTCATACACTGATAGGTTTATTAAAAATATGTAGCTTAATAATTAGTAATTTTTAAAATCTAATCTCGACAAATTATTCGATAAAACGAAATTATAGTATTTATTTGAATTAGTTCGATCTTTAAGAATGCGACATTCGATCAATAACAAATTAATCAATTGAAAGTAAGTCTTGACATTTCAATAAAAAAATCTTAAGCAAAAAATCGAATATTTCATAAAAATGTTTGGTTTTTATACTTTAAGAAATAGAGCACTAAGTATGTCAAAAATGGGTAAATTCATAAAAACTGTATGGCAAAAAAAAAAAATATCTTGTATAATTAATATGGGAAAGTAGTATAGATTGAATGTAGAATAAAAAAGACAAAAAATACCAAATAAAATAAATTTTTTTCCTAAAGTGAGAGGAATATTTTCTTTATTTGTTTTTTATTTTACTATAGTTTTTGGAATTAAAATTAGACTTAAAGTAGATGCAACTAAAGTAAACTGCATAGTGTAAATGTAATGTAATGTAAAATTGGTTTTTTATATTTTATTCTATCAGAAAAATAATTTTCAGAGACAAAAAAATTATGTGAAATCTTGGAAACAACACTATGCACAATGTCAACAAAATGAATGGTAGTAAATCGACATTGATCAATTGTTTTTCAGTGAAATATTTTCACATTCGAAAAATGTGTACAAATAAGAAAAATACAACAACAACTGCAAAAAAAAAAAACAAGAAAACAATTTCGTTTTAAAAGAAAATTAATAGATGTTCAATTCAAACCAACGCGTGGATGATAAAATATCTGTTTATACTTCATATTGCAAATTGAGAAATATTTACAACAATACCGGCTATAGTATACGGTTTTGATGGTAAAAACCGATATCCAAGTTCAAGAAATCAAAAAAATTATAACCAAATATTGTTATTTAATGTTTCTGTTAAAATGTAATCGATACAGCCTGTTAAATAATAATTGCCAAAATATAAATAATTATGTTCACGGCTATTATCATATTTGCAAGATTTGGGGAAATAACATACTATGCAAAAGTCTTTTTACTATATTCGCATGCATGTATCGAGTGTTTTCATACTGTAAGCTAGTATTGACACATTTCCTAGCGTGGCATAACCTAACCGCAGGTATAATACACAGTGTAGTTTATAAGACATATTATTTCAAAACGGTAAACGTCGTGTAGACTTTGTCAAGAATTGAAAACACCTTAACCTAACCGAGGGCCTCTTAAACATCTAAATAGGTATTTGGGCTACACGGTCTAAGCGCGGCGTGTCTTAGGGGTGGCAAAATATTTAAGCAAAATTAATTAAAAAATCACTGAATTGAATATCACATACATGTTGCCGTGTAGTTTTGTATGCATGTAACATAATTCGTGAGGTTACTAAATAATTTAAAAGGAGATACAGCCACAGGTTTTGACAAATTATCGGTGAAACTATTGAAAAGTATATCACTGTTTGTTATACAGATCCATTAACTTATATATATATATATATATAATATATTGTTTAAAAAAAAGGCATATTTCCATCGCAGTTTACAACAACTATTGTTAAACCACTTTTTAAAAACGGGGATAAACAAACAATAAATAATTACAGACCAATATCGTTGATCAATTATGTCGCAACGATCCTTGAAAAAGTTGTAAAGTCAACAATAATAACATTTATAATTGTTCAAATTTTCCATTTCAATATTTAAAAGTTTATACTTGTTATGATAAAATATATAATCCAAGCTACTCTACAATAAACAAAGTATATTTTATTGTATTAATGTGTACCTAAAAATATTGTTCAAAATATTAATATACCCCGAGAAAATGGGTGCCTTATCCATAATGAATCACCCTGTACATCAAATATGAAAAAACATCATAAAACTTCAAGGTATTTTATATACCAACACATTTGAAAAATCTGGGTACAACTACCATTGTGGAGCTTTTATTATGTGTAAAAAGTGTATTACTCATACATATGTTTTTTCATACCGAGTGTAGTTTACGCGTTTTATCGATTTTTTACAATACACTAGCGCATGAAATCGAGAGCACAAAATCAAACCTTACACATTATGGTATGGTAACGAAAATTTAGGCCTCTGGTGAATAAAACCTGCAAACGTTAGAAAATAGATGTCTGATTCAATGTATATTTAATATAGCGATAATGTTTAATCGTTCATCGGTCATTCTCGACCGCAAGTAACTTTTAACGCACTAAAGTCTGAAGAGTAGTTTGATACGAGACAACACGAATACATTCAACATACCTAAATCCCTAACATTTTGCTATGAAAAGGAAAAATGTTATCCTTTTTATTGGAAACGGTTTAAATTTCAAACAAATTTTCGAATTAATTCGACGTGTATGTTCTTAAATCTTAAATTTTGTGCCAAACAATTTGTAAGACTTTCAGATTTTTTCCCGGGAGGAGGGGGGGGGTTGTCGAAATTTCTGGTTTTTCCATGTGCGATTTTGTCGATGGCACTTGTGCACACATAAGATTGTTTTATAGCATATCTTTTTTGCCATCGATTAATGTTCGTTACTTGAGTTGGACCAAGCTGATTGAATATGATAAAATCACTTTAAAAAAATTTAATTCAAACCTTAAACTAGTACTTGAGCACTCAAAAATTACTGGGGCCACTCTAAACAGTATCCATAAAAATATTGGTCATGACTTGATCATTTTTTTTTTAAGATTTAACATCCGCGAAAAACACAGTTTTCCGGCAATTAAAAAACAAACTGTAGTCTAGATGTTTTTCTTTGTTCAACGTGTTAGGTATACATAAGAGTTCTAACTCCAGACAAATTTTTCACTAAAAGATCCTAAAATTACGGCTAAAAAACGCCAAAAACTTGCATCCCCCTGTGAGGGGGTGGGAAATGGGTAGTCCTTAAGATTTTCCACTCGATTCGACTATTTTTTTCGAAATTATAACCAGTAAAAGTAAAAACTTTAAAACTAGTAGGGTTTTTTTTTCAAATTTTAACTTTGACGAAGTGAACTTTTGCAACTTTTATTCGCCCAAAATTTCCAGCTATATAAAACATGTAACCATTTTTAATATCAATTATATAATCATATAGACATACATATTATATACATATATTATTAATTTAACTGTACTCATTCCATCTTTAAACTATGACGAAAACATTTGGTGGAAAATTTTCAAAAAACTAGGGGTCTCGCGTTTAAGGCCAATTGA